TGTTACTGTATTTAGAGTTTTTTATATCTCAATGCAAGACTTGTGCTAAAAAAAATCATTTAATCAACTTACCGGGCAACTGGAAAACTTATGATCAGACTGTTTGAGCTATAGCAAATTTATCTTTGACTATTTTTTTTTAATTTATTTTTGTAAATTAATCCAGCTTCATCCACAGCAAAGGTATGAGTTCTAAGCTTGAACATTTTTTGATCAATTAATATCAAACTTTGACAATGTCACAATATCAATTTACTGATCTGAAACAATCCTACTTCTAAGGCAATTACCAGATGATAATGATTGAGAGAATCAAATTATTTCAAATTAAACACTGTCAATACTATATAATTAAAGGAACTTTCAAGCAACACTCCTTTTGAGAAATATTTAAAAGAAGAACAACATTATCCTTTGGTAATCAAGAGTGTATCAACTTCCTAATTAAGGCCTGATAATCAACCCTATTCTAAACTAAAATGTTTTTTTTTCACTATTTGTCAAGATCAGTTCCCGCAACAACAACAAAACGGTCCTAATTTTCTTAGAAAAAGGGTACTTTTTAATTATAATAAGAGTTAACATCTTTAACGCAATAAAAATAAAAATAATGCATTCTACTTATAATTCATCACATTTGTAAATGATTATTTCCTGATTTATCTCGGGGTCCTTTTAACACAATTCACTGATAAATCCACAGAATTCTTCACAGATCTGTCTTACTGTGGTTTTTCATACATATAATAACTGTCCCTTAACTTCATTTGGGATATAAATGTCATGTGGTACTACCATCGTTGACCAGGTACATGATGTAGTGGCCATTAGCCCAGTTGGTTAGGAGACAGTATAATGATAAGAGGACCAGGGTTCGAATCCTGGTGTGGCCTCATTGCATTTTAATACACAGAACACTGTTGTCGATTTTGTTTTGGTTTATTCATCATGTCTTCTTCAAATTTTCAGAAATGATTTATCAAAGCTATATATATACTAGCATGCTGTGTAAAAAGTTTCCATTCGTAGTTAGTTTTTGGTAGTGATTTTTCCATTCGTAGTTAGTTTTTGGCAGTGGTAGAGGGATCACTAAAAGGACAATGGCATTACTTTTTTTCTTCTTTATTGTAGTGTAGGTTATTGATAAAAAAAAACTTCGTCTTTTTATGGCAAACATCATGAACCCAAAGTTCAAATTTCAAATGTCAGAATACTTATTTCATAATTTATTGAGACAGTCCATATTGAAAACACTGATACAGTTACTCACACATAAATGTTAAATAATTTTTCGACATTGAATCCGGACTGTTACAATTCCATTTCCCCGAGGCCTGGGGCTATATGTGTTGTGTGGTTGAGCTACTGAAAAATTTCAATATTTAGTATGAAAATATCAGTCTGGCTAGAAGAACTTAAAATCAACCTGCAGGAGAGTATCTTATACAAATATAACATTGTATACCCATAATGGAACTGAATGTATTAAATGTCATTCAATTTTGGAATAAAGTTATAAATTCTTACATTACTCCAAACCAATAATTCTTTGATACAGTGCGACTAGCAGAAAACTGTACTACTGTTACAGGTATGTGACTGAAGTAAATAGAAAGAGTCTAAGAGACTATAATAGTGAAAAGACATCAGATTTATTCTTATTTTCTGTGGTCACTTTATCATAAAAATTATAGAAAATTTTCCTTGATTAAGAAATCATACATATGTGCCAGTTAACTTTAGTGTTTCCCAGTGTATATTTCAGTAAATGTGGTGAATATTGCTTTGAGATTGTGAAGAATAGAGTTAAAATATGACTGGGATTTATACTCCGTTTGGGGGACATATTTAACAATGTGCATTGTCAACATAAAAGAATGCTTAGGATTATGATATCAATTTAAGTTATCTTTGTAATGTTAATGAATTTTTCCTGTTCTTTCGAAAGTAACTAATGCTCTTTGACTGGTGTATTTACATTAATAAAAAAGTTGCCCCTTTTTTTTCACAAGAAAATATTCACAGATGAAAATGTAATCAAGTCTTTTCACGACAAAGTGAAAAATACCAACTGATTCATAACTTAAAGTATACTTAATTTAAATGTTGGGTCTGATTATTAATATTATACCAGACAGACAATATCTTTCATACTGTAGTGACTTTTAATCAGTGATGACTGGTGGAATGTTTAATCATGTTTTCTAACTTAGGTTAGGTGATATTATATAAGTTTTATTGTCTTTTGCATTTTTATAGATTATATATATATGAGAGTTAGGTAAAATGAAAACACATTATCATGAGTGAAGGACATTTAAACTCTGAATGTCTGTATTGTCTAAAAGTTTTTTTGTTTCACTCACAACACAACTTCATATTTCAACTAGAAACAAGCTGAGACAGAACCTGTTGTTTAGATTTGTGTTCACTGCTGTAGATATCTCATTAGATCAAAATAAAGATTTTTCCAGTAAACCAAAAAATGAAATTATCACTTATCATAATGATTATGTCATAACTTGACGAAGGGACCAGCCGGTCTTGAAATGTTGCAACACGTAGGTTGTCTCAAAGCGGTTCACAAACTATTATCCGTGGTTATAGGGCCTTTGCAACCGGCCAATATCTTTCTCAACTCCCTGGGGAGAATACAGCCGGTGCTGCCATTTTTGCCCTAACAGCTAGCATTCAACAACTCTAGCACTGCCCAACCATGTACTCATTTACAGCTGAGTAGACTGGAACAAGCAGAGTTAAGTATTTTGCTCAAAGATACAACACAGAGCCGTGCCTTGACTCGAACCTGCAACCCTTCGGTCATGAGCCCAGCGTCCTACCACTAGACTACTGTGCATGATTAATATTAAGTTAAACTTTGATATGAAATAAGTACTTTTTAAAGCTTGCTGCAATCAGACATGAGGTCTATAGAAATATTCATTTTTTGGAATCGGTTGGACTTTCATTATGTACAAGCAGTGAATTATGGATAAAAGGTCACCAAATTTGTCTTACAGATATATGCCCAATAATTGAAAAGTTTGTAAATCATGTTTGTCAACCATGTTTGTCAACTCTACACCTCAATTCAATGTGAAAAATCATCTAATAACACAAATAAAAGTGTATGTCTATGAGTCAATTGTCATTTCAAAAACCATATTGGTAGATGAGTGCTTAGTTAAAACATGAAAACTGCATAATGAATAAACTGAATTTATAGTACAATAATTGCGAAACAAGTTATATCAACTTTTACTAATCACCCTTGTTGGCCTAGATGGTAGGGCACAGGGGGTCTTAATGCAGGGATAATCCTGGAGGGGGCCATTGACCCCTCAAAACTGAAATTGACCCCTCCATGTTCCAATTTTCTATTAATTTTACATAGAATGACCTCTCTTAATTTTCATATTGATTAAAAATTGCTGAAATGGCTCACTACTCTCAAATTACAGGATTTTCCCTGTTAATGTGCAAGGAAACTGCAGTACCCGGTGGAATCCCATAAGGTCGGGCAGGTGACCCCATACCTTTTCACGTAAGATGGATGAATCACACACTGGTTGTCTTGGTGAAAGGCGAGTGCGCTATCCACCCGACCACCCTGCATGATTATTGTACATCACGAGAAAAAATATTGATAATTAAGTTAGCATTAATATTGCTTGACCAAAAGTTGATGTTTCAGATAATCACAAGAAAACCTTTTGTGTTTATTACGTTTGAAACCTTTTGTTTATAAAAAAGAAAAAAGTTAAAATTCAAGAGATTTTTTTTTATGTCTAAACAATAAAGTGATATATTTACCACTATCATAACAGATATATCACTGTTATTCTAAAGATGTTGATGTGAATAGACCAAGAAAAGTTATTTAAAATACCAATGAATATAAACGAACAAATTTATCAGTATCACCCATCTGCTTTCATACCGTTATCTAGTTATTTATAATAAGCAATTAAAGTAATTATAAATGATTTATAACAAATAATTATAAATGACTTACTTATTACTCAATCTATAACTATACATGACAGATAAATTCACCTGACCATTCATTTTTCACTTAAAACAAAGAAAAGCATAAACAAAGTATGAACACAAGGATTAGGGTTAGGAAAGGCAAAAAAAATAACAATGACATTTCAGAAAATTTAACATAAATACATAAGAACTGGCCCATGCATTTTTAATCACTGGATAATAAACACAATCTAGAAATGGTGTACCGGTAATATGACCTAAAAAAATATCACAACAGCCATGAATATAATGTACACATTTACTACAATTTTAAGCATAATTAATTAAGATTCAAAATACAGAAATTAAACATGACAACATCTATTAAAAACACAGTTATTTAAATATAATACACACAGCACAGAATCTATCGTAGGCATATTAACTGATACATAACAATACATTATTATCTTCTCTAAAATCAGCCTAAACGGAACTATTACCTTACGCAAAATCTAATAACAGCTAATTTATTATATTTCTAAACTGGGCAATGTTACAAAGATGTAGTTACAAACTGAGATTAGAAGTTTCAGACAATGTATTTATATGTTTGTGTCACATTAAGCAACACTGTTTAACTAAAGAATAAGGGCGAGCGTGCATTCGTCACACGCTGTTTGGTGTATACATGTGTATTAGACAATGTACGCGTTAGTATTTTTGTAAACTCTAAATTTACCTAAACAAGAATAACAAGTTATAAATCCAGAACGAAACGTAAATAAATCTAAAAAATAATAGCAGATCTAGTTAACACGATATCTGACAAGAAAGCAAAGCACCCCTGCACGACAAGTCGCCAACCCATGTACGGCTTATACATGTACACACACATACAACGCGCCGCTGGTTGATAACAAACTTATTCATCTAAAATGCAAGGGTATCGCTTGAACACCCGATATCACAAAACCAACAAGATAATATACGATTTGAACTGGAAAAATCAAAATCAAAACTCTCACCGTTTCATCCATTATTTTGCAATTGCTTCGTTATTCTTTCATGACTTGAAACTTTTTCTTCGTCCGCTACTCGCTGTGTCGCGAGCTGGCTTTTCAGGGAATATATCGCTAATGGCGGTCGGTTTCTGTCTGTCAGTGGAGTGTATTATAAACGGATGTGACGTCACGTTGACACTGTGGGCTTTGTGTAGGCTTCTTTCTGCAAAAACAGAGTTGCTCTCTGTAGTATCCAAACTGGTGGGCGATAAACAATCAGTGTTTTCTGTAATATTCTTTCTCTATTTGAACATTTATATGAAAAAATAGTAAATGTTATACCTATCCAAATTGAATAAACATATTCTTCATCAGGAAATTTGTATAATTAAAATTGATATACCAATTATCATATTGCATACCAACATTTTAATTTGCATCATAAAAAAGTCAGACCAAAATATGATTTGTTTCAAAATTTAATTTTTTCTGTAATTTTATAGTTAATGGACACTTCTTTACTTTAGTGGGTAAATTAAAATATTTCAACAAATAAATAGCAGAAAACGGATGGTTTTGAAGATTGGTTTCAGTTTCAAAACAATGAAATATTTAAATAAATAAATAAAGCAATTTAAGAAAATGTAAGTTTTACTGGGAAAAAAATAGATAGAAGAACTGTGATAACACAAAGTAATGCAACACTGTTTCGTTAGCGTCCTGCTCGACACAAATATGTTTACCGTATAATATAATATGACGTGTGTATTGTTTGTGCATAAGTGTCATTGTTGGACGATTTAAAACTGTAAAGCTGAATTCAACTTTCAGCAGCATATATAGATGTCTAAATGTAAATTAACTATTTTTTAAAGAGGCGAGCGATATAATGAATGACAGGTAACATTTATATTTGCTTCGCCGTTACGATCAGGCGTAGAATGTATTTTCTTGGCGATTTTATTACCCAGCTTTAATTGTGATATCGATTATATATTTTGACGGAAATGACTGAAACATTATGAACATAATTGTATTCGATGAAGCTAGGTTTGGTGTGTACAGCGTTGAATATTTTAACGTGTTGTGATTTATATCTATTATGTATCGCGTTAAAATATCTAATAACTTGTGTTTTATCTTTTAAATCTTCTTTATGATTTTCTTTATTGTGCGATTTCTCTTGAAATCAAATTGCTTTCAGTTGGTATTCATAGGCAATGTGAATGCCAACTAAAAATTACAAATGTTGATTTTTTCTGTTCTAGCAGGAATTGACATCGTGAATACTTACCATTTTTAAAATTGTAAATCTTATAATAATTAAATCAGTCTGAAAATAACATTCAACATTCAGTGCAAATTAGTGTATGCTTGTTCAATTAATCGAACAGCCATCTCCAAGGAAGAGTCAGGGGTATCCAACGTAACAATTATGACGTCAAAATATTTATGACATCAACATTTTGGGTCATGACATTCATAGCTGATCTGAAAGCCATCTGAATTTGGTAGGATTATATACAGGCAATGTCACACAGTGATAAATATATGATAAAGCGTACAATCTTGTGATTTATATTTGAATTCTTCCAATCATATTTGAAAAGTCTTATGACTCATATTCGAAAATATGTAATATATCCGGATATTCAATGTGATGCATTTTCGAAATTCTGTTAGTTGTATCCTAAAAATCTTCTAATTCGTTCTGAAATGTGTTGAGTTATGTTTCATGGGATATCTGACGTAATGACTTTTCTCCTACAACCAATACAAGTTTCATCAACCGAAGTCAAATTCATTTATTCACTTTAAGCTTTTCACCTCATCACTAAACATATAACAATACATTGGTAGACAGGGCAATAATGCAATAGAGAATGGACAGAATAAAATAACATACAGTTTTACATTATACCATGCATTTTTTTAATCGAGTAGCATCATATATATATTTTACTTAACATAGTTTATTCTTTTAGGTTAGTTGCACTTAATAGTCGAATCAACTTGAAAATTGATGTTTTTTTTCAGTAATACCTTTTTACACGTCTCGAACTTAAAACTTGTTAAATTGGACAAATTTACCAAAAATTGTATTCATCTTCAATATCTTCAGAGTTACAGACTCTGTGGAGACAGTTATTTTTGTTACACCTCAAGTGCATTTCTAGCTATTTGATTGGTTGGGAGAAAATTAAACAAAAATCTCTGTCACCCTCCGAAAGTACATTGGTTTTAAGGGGTGCGGGTGATATTGCCATGAGACAGTGAAAAATATCACATGCGCAAAAAATGTGCGTGCACCGCTTCGTTTCCCCACCGTGATGGTCACAAGAACGTTTGACGGCAATAGCCAATTTCATCAAGCGCCGTTGCGATAGCGATTGTAAACAGCAGACTATCAACAAACAAGATGTCATTATCGAGGTTTGCTGCCGTTTCTGAGCTACATTGACTTTTGGTGTAACAAAATAGATATGACATTCATTAGCAGGTGACAGTGAATATTGTCAACCCTCAAAAACCCATTGTCACCCTCGGCTTCGCCTCGGGTGACAATGGTTTTCTCGGGTTGACAATATTCGCTGTCACCTGCTAATGAATGTCATATCTATATACTAACAATAGTTCGATAAGGTCCTGTTTCAATATGCAGCGTATGTGCTGATAAACGACGTATCTTAGACAGAGTAATTCTGTTTCGCTCCAAACTCATTGGATAAACCTGCAATGTGTTGATAACCCAATAGTGGGTAACACCCTGGATGTAATTTCTGATTATGGCATCAAGTAACAATGCTTTGCGACGTCATCTTCTACCGTGACGTCATCTTCTACTGTGACGTCATCTTCTACTGTGACGTCATAGTTCATGGCTATTGCTTTCCCCGCTCGGAAACAGGAATAATGTCTGCACAAGAGAAATATATGGTTTTCTATTTATATAAAATGTTGTGGGAGAAAATTATTTGACCGTTGTGGAAAAAAAGTCCCCAAGGTCATGTTGGTTGGATATCATGTTTATCTAACTCTCGTTGGTCAATTTTTAAATTGTAAAATACAATTTAGAAGTTAACATTATAAACCAACCAACACTCGTTTGGGAACCTCTATATACTTTTCAATGACATTTTCTATTGAGTATGTTATATTAGTTTTAGGTCTTTAAATTCTTTTTTAAGATTTTGTGGTTATAGCTAAGCTAAAACCACTTCAGCAAATGGCAAATCACGTTTGCGAAATATTCATTAACAATGACGTAAAATTAAACATGATGCAAATTTTATAGAACATACAAAGGTGTTTATGAACATTTTGAATTTGAATAATACGTCTTTGAATATCAAATATATAAATATATTTACAAAACAAATCGCAGAACTATTTCAGTTTTTAAATCACACGATTTTGAATGTACATGGCAAGATTTGAATAAAAATCACAAGATCTTTTCAAACATGAATCACGGGACTTCCAAGAAAATCACAAGATTTCGAATACATATAAATAACAAGAATTTAAATATAAATAACAAACTTCAGTTTTTCTAAAAAAAAAATTCACATTTAAATCATAAATCAACAGATGATCAATTATTGCAACGTTTGACACGCAATAAAAATGATTTTTCAAAAATGTCGTCTTATGATTTATGGAATAGTGTGACGTCTTTGACACGTTCACTTAACTGCGGGACTACGTACGGCGCTGGCTGTAAAATCCTAAATACACATGTAAACGGGTTAATGTCGTCACGGTACATTCAACGCCATTTCTCAATCTTACGTAGAACATGTTGACATGCGCGTTCGACATTAGCCAACCAATGTTTCAGTTCCGCAGAGCCTACGGGATAGAATGGGCATGGACTATAGACTCATCACATTTCAACATATTAATAAGTGTATATTTAATCTATCTGACAACAAACCAAAAACTACTTGACAAAAACGGCGCTCATAGATGCTTAGGATTAAAAGTATCACCGATAGTCTAACTGACTTATTTTCGACCGCAAAATGTGTACCACAACTTCATACTAGTGCAGGTAACCCAATATGATTCGACGGGTGATGTGTTGACAGTATGTGATATAAAACTTATCTGCAAATTTCATATCTCGTATAACCCAACATAAAGTAAGTAGGTTACAAAACTTAACTTCTATAATTGGATCAAGGAAATGTAGACCAGGAACATTTCAAGAGAATAATCATTTTTGCTTTTACTTATTTTTTTATTGTGAGATATTCAATCGAATGACACCTTTTCATTACGACTGACATGAACTTGATCAAGAGATGATGTTTACGTCTAAGTTATTTCGCCGGACCAACTCTTTTCTATATAGAAATTTATTCCAGCTATGACTGTAGCTGCTTTGTCATGCCCATACATTACTCTACAAAAAGAGTGTCATTGAGTTTGATGGATTTCCAAAGGCTATGTGAGCAAATTGACAATATGTACATCCAGACCTTTTGCAACTCTGTGGATTTCATTGAACCAATTTTCACGCCGAATTTTACTGGCAGACTGAACGATTGAACAATGAGACTATTTCACCGAGTGAAATGCAATGTACTCATTTGCTAGCGCAGTCGTGAGGTCTCTATTCGAAAATGCACGAACTCTTTGTCAGTAAGATGAACGCGGTATAAACTGTCCCCTTCCAAGACCTGTCCATATTAAAGTCATCGTCGGTCGTGCCATAAAAGAAATATACATCAGGAAAAGGGCATTGCCTTTAATATAGATATTTGGGTTTGCAGAGTTGATTTGCAACAGTATAATCAAGAGAAGTATCATTTGAGCAAGATAATAAAGACACTTCTGGTGAAGACCATCATTCACGACGTATGTTGAACTTATTCTGACATAATTTTGTTTTATCAAATAGTCTATTATTTACGATTAAATAGAATCTGACTTGAATCATTATGACATTTATCTAGGTGCAACTAACTTCCTGCAATCAATGCACATTTGTTTTCTTTTGATGCACTAACTGCGTTTGGGAGAACAATTGTTCTTTTATGAACTTCAGTATTAGGTTCTGGTGAGATCGAAAAAGGACGAATGAGGATTTTTATCTGATGCATACGCGACACTTGTTTTCATCAACCCATTTTCTGAGAAA